ATATAATTTTTGTGGGGGCAAGGTCTTACTATGCAGTTAGCTCACTTTGTAGCCCATGCTGGTCTCAGACAGACTCAAAATAATCCTCCTGTTTCAGCCTCCTGAGTGCCGGGATTACAGGTTTGTGTCACCACACCCAGTTTATCTGATTACATTTTTAACAAATACATAACCAAAGAAGTAACCCATCCAAAATCAAATAAACCTCTGTTTTCAAATCTTAAAACCCAGCCCAGATTTATATTTATATTTCTGAGGGGAAAACAATACATCACATCCAAATCTCCTTCTTCAAATAGGACACATTACTCACTAGCTGAAGACAGGGAGTGGGGACTAGTACCTTAGGGGCTAAGTCCCATCAATCATTTTCAGGCTCAGTAAATACCTAGCAGCATTGGTTTCACTCCATCACTTCCTAAAGAAACATACTTTTTGGGTCTGAGGAGATAGCTCAGTAGAATAAGCACTTGCCTGGCAAGCACAAGGGCCTGAGTTCAATCCCCGGTTCCACCAAAATATCCACAAAAAGCACTTTTTCCCCATCCGGTGGGAAATGTCCCCTGCTACCTCTGTGGTCTTTGTAGTTTTCTGAGCTTCTTTTCAAGGACAGAACAGTTCCTTTCGGACCCTGGGGCAGCAATGTAAGCTTGCCAATGAAAAGCTTTGCCACAGCCACTGGGGATGGGCCACCAAACCACAGAAGGCACGGATTCCCCTCCCCACTCCCACCCCATATTCTCAGTGCCACAAGGACACATGCAACAATCACAACCTGCTGACTGCTTCTTAACTGTTCCCCGTTGAGGGGGCAGCTAAGGTAGTGGAGGTAGGGGAAGCTGGCCTTTCTGGTACTTGTGGGAAACTGGCTGGTGAAAGGGGTAGTGGTGGGTGGGGTGGGAAGGGGTTGATATTTTTCCTCAGTCCCAGTAAATGACACTAACACCTACCTAGTTACCTAAGCTACAGGGTTTTAAGACCCCATTCATAGGTGAGAGTAAACTGCTAGTACCATTTACGAAGAATACAGGAGAAAAGTTGCTGAGTTCAAATTCTGAGTTCACAACTTGTTGGTTGTACAATGTGCAAGTTACTTAATTTTGTTTTAATCTGTGAAATGTCTGATGGTAGTACCTTCTTCCCAAGACTTTTCAATGATTGTCATTTATTGACTCAATTCCTATTGAGCATCTAGTTTAAAGTCAGACAGCTAGCAAGTGGCAGAGTCACATCTGGAACTCAGGTCTTGTTCCTTCACTGTCTTCAGCTCATTGTCACACTGTTCTTCTAGAGATTGCATACCAAATAGAATCATGCTTATAGTATAATGTTAAGTGAAAAGGGGCTAGCAAATTGCAATAATCAGTGTGCATACAACTGTGTGTGTGTGTGTGTGTGAACTAATCCACAATAGGAAAAGCCAACAGGAAATATAGCAAATCGTTACAAAAATTGTATTTGGGTGGGTTTTTATCTATGTATACTTTCTACATTTTAAAAATATTCATTTTATTAAAGTAGTTGCTAAGACATTAAGTTGAAAATAATTTTGAGTCAATAACTCCTCACATTTGAAAACTACACTCATGTTATTTCTTCTTCGTTGTAATCTTACTCCCCTGAACAGAAACTCTACGATCCTCTCCAAGGCCGGGATAGGAAGCAGGTAAAGCAGCCACATCCCCACCCACCTGACAGCTGATAACCTGGCCGCTGGAACAGGCTGTCAAAATCAGGCCTGAGATAGGGAAGTTCCAGGGAGAATCCTGTCTACCCCACCGCCTAGGGCTTTCTGGACAGCGCTCCTTGAGATCAGTTACTCCCCACCTCCTTCTAAAGAGCCAGCCGAATGCTCTTTTTCCAGTTCTAGCTGAACTGTCGGCTTCAGCCGGCGAGGACTCCTGCCAGGTACCTACCTGGCTTGGTGAGCACCGCCCAAACTGGTCCGGCTAGTCTGCCCTGTGGCTGTTTCTGCCAGGACTTGCCCGTGAGTGTGTTAGAGACCCACCCTTCTCCACAGCAACTCAGGTAGGTGGAAAGGCAGCTCTGGGCACTAACCTGGCAGTCAGGCTAGATGGGTGGAGCTGAATTAATCTAACCTGGAATTTCAACTTGGCCGGCACAACAGGTGAGGGAGAAAAGCAGCAGAGAACGGGTAGTTTGGCCACTTAGAAATATTCCTGCGCCTCGTGCTCTTACCCCCCGCCTGGAACATATCCCAGGGTGACTTTTCAAAGTGTCCGCACCGGGTTTTAAGGCTCAGTCGCGCCATGGACTCTCGGAGGCCGTCCGAGCCCCTACTGAACGCTGTCCTCCCCGGTTACCCGCCGCGCCGCGCCCGGCCCCCTCCTCTGGGAGGCAGGGCGGGGGGATCGGATTAGTCTTTGTTTCCGACGTGAAAGAGCCGAGCGCCGCGCGGGGGAGGCGCGCGATGGCAGGGCCTCGGGGTCCTCCTGGGCAGGGCGCCCGGCCGTGACTCCCGCGAGGGTGCCCCGCAGCGGGCCCGAGGCCTCTGCCTCCAGGCACCCCATTCTTACCGGCCAGGCTGACTCGGTACGCAAACGCGCGATGTCCCCCCATTGTCCTGCCCCGGAATGAGCGAGCGGCAGGCGGGGAAAAAGGGTCAGTCGGGCCTGAGCTCAGGGCTCCTAGGGGCGCCAAGGCTGTCCCGGGCCGCCTGGGCCCTCCGGAGAATGGCAGGAAGTGGGGACACCAAGGCCGGCCGGGCCGAGGGCCTAGGTTGGAAGGTCCATGAGCCCCACCCGCCGCGCCGCCCGGCTGCAGCCCCGCCAGAGGGCAGGACCGGCAGCCCAAGGGGCGGCTAGGTCCAGGAGGGCCGGCCGGGGCGAGGAGGTCCTGCAGGTGCAGAGACGCGCGGCCCCGGCCCTGCCCCGCCGGCTCGCCGGCC